CACAGAATAAAGAAGCAACTTTGGCTGCTGTATAAGGGTGAGCTAAAGCTCCAAAGTGTGCAAATTTGGTTAATCGATCCACAACCACTAGAATTACTGAAAATCCTTTAGAAAGAGGCAAACCTGTAATAAAATCCATGCTCAAATCCTCAAATACTCCTTCTGGTATAGGCAGGGGTTGGAGCAAACCAAAAGGAGGTGTGGTAGCTATTTTGATGAATTGACAAACTGAACATTGTTTCACGAAGGCAGTAACATCCTTCCTCATGTTGACCCAATAAAAAGAGTTAGATAGACGCAATAAGGTCCTAGTGATGCCAGCATGTCCCCCAACAGGTGTAGCATGAGCCTCATGGATCAACAGTTGGCAAAGTTGAGAATTTGATCCCAACAGAAATCGATGTTTATGATACAGAATTCCTCTCCTTTCCGTGATATTGGAATCAATGTGCTCTCCATTTGTAATTTTCAAATGTAATGCTAACAAATCAAGATCAGAAGTATTTTCATCCTTAATTTGATTAACAACATCAAATGAAACTTGGGTGATTAAGGACAAAACATTACCTGGAGTTTCCTCATCCTCATCCCTTCGAGATAATGAATCAACAACAATGTTAGAGATTCCCGATTTATACTCTATTGTAAAATCATATCCCATCAACTTACACATATATTTCTGTTGTTCCAAGGTTTGAATGGTCTGAGATAAAAGTTCTTTCAAACTTCTATGGTCAGTCTTGATGATAAACCTGGAGCCTAATAAGTAATGTCTCCATTTCTTTACAGCTTCAGTAACAGCATAGAGCTCTCTCACATAAGTTGAAGCCAATCTCATCCTGGCTCCTAGCTTCTTGCTAAAATAAGCAATCAGATTGTTCTGTTGGATCAGCACAGCTCCAATTCCTGTGGCAGAAGCATCTGTTTCGATGATGAAAGGCAAGGAAAAATCTGGTAGTGCTAGAATGGGAGTGGAAGTCATAGCTTTTTTTAAAAAACAGAAAGCTTCCTGAGGACTATCATTCCAAACAAAGGAATCAGCTTTTAGAAGGTCAGTAAGAGGAGATGCCAAAGCTGCATAATGTTGAATGAATCTCCTATAGTAGCCAGTAAGTCCAATGAATCCCCTGAGTTGTTTAACATTCTTGGGTTGAGGCCAAAGTAGCATGGCAGTGATCTTTTTAGGATCTGCCTTCACTCCCTCTCTTGACACTATGTGACCCAAATAATCAATCTCAGATAAAGCAAATCCACACTTGCTCAACTTGACCATGAATTGATTCTGCTACAGGCATTCCAATGTGACCCTTAAATGCCCTAAATGATCCAGAAAAGATGAACTATAGATCAATATGTCATCAAAGAAGACTATGATGAATTTCCTCAAATATGGCTTGAACATTTGATTCATGGCTGATTGGAAAGTTGATGGTGCATTGGTTAATCCAAATGGTAATACCAAAAACTCATAATGTCCTTCATGGGTTCGAAATGCAGTTTTAGAAGTGTCATGTGGAACTAACCGAATTTGGTGATAGCCACTCCTTAAATCCAATTTGGAAAAAAAATCAGCACCCTTCAATTCATCCTAGAGCTCATCAATGGTGGGAATGGGAAAGCAATCCTTGATGAAAAGGGGCTATGACTTGCCTTAATGAAACCCGAAGCTAAGAGGTCAGCCACCTGTTTCTCAATTTCAGTTTTCTGATGGTGAGCATACCTATAAGGTTTCACACTCACTGGTCTAGCTCCTTCCACCAGGTGAATAGCATGGTCACAATCCCTTGAAGGAGGAAGACCTTATGGCAACTGGAAAACATATTGATATTTCACCAATATGTTCCACACCTCAACAGGAACTTGTTTCTGTATTGACAGCAACTCAGGAAGCAATGCATCAGTAGAATTTACAGTTGGTGAAGTCGCTAAATAGGAACAAGCACCATCTGACTTGTTGGGCTCAATGTTCTTCCTAGCCCCAGATAAAATAACCCTTTGCTGATTCCAAATAAACTCCATGGACATATCACTGTAGTCATGTATCACCCTGCCCAAGGAACTGAGCCAAAGAATTCCCAAAATAATTCCCAAGTTGGACAGTTCAATCACCCATAAATCCACTACAAACACGTGTCCTTGTATCTCAAGAGAAACTGATGGGCATTTCCTTTCACAAATTAGAAAATCTCCATTACCAAGGAATACTCTCATCCTAGGAATTTTAACCATAAGATATCCCAAATCTTCAGCAATGCTCTTTTGCACAAAATTATGAGTGCTACCCGAATCTGTGAGGATGGAAACTAACCTCTTCCCAACTAAAACTTGGAATTGCAAGGCTCTAGGATTTAGTTCCCCTTCCATGGAATGAAGAGCAGCATCATGAATTTCTGATTGAGCTTGATCTGGTTGCCACACTATCTGTTCTTCAACATCAGCATCCACTTCCTCACAATCCCCTACCAACATCAACAGCTTAGCCTTGCAACGATGTTTGGAAGTCCATTTGTCATCACAAGTATAGCAAAGACCCATATCTCTGCGTTTTTGCAAATATTCCTGAGATACTCTCTTGACAGGAACATTTGAAGGTAGTGCTGGTAAGGAAGGTAATCCAGGCAATCCTGGTTTCACTGGAGTTGCAGAAGTGGTGTGTTCCACAATTGAAACTGGTTTAGGAAAGTACTTCTTGTTAGTATAAGAAGTAAAAGAACCCCTGAGTTCAGCAAAATGAGCCTCATATGTAATGGATAATTGCATAGCTTGATGAAGAGTGGTTGGGCTATGAAGTTGAATTGCTCTCTTTAAATCTGGTTGTAAACCAGAAACAAAGAAACTCATCAAGACTTCATCTGAGAAATCAGTTACCTGATTGATCAAAGCTTCAAAATCCCTAATATACTCATTAAGAGCTCCCACCTGAGACAGTTTGGACAAAACTCCACGCAAATCAGTATAGGCTGTACCACCAAATCGTTGTTTCACAGCCAGCTTCAATTCTTCCCATGAATGGATGGTACCACCATTGAACAGCCATTGAAACCACGACCCTGCCATGCCATCCATCTTCATCCCTGCCAATCGAACCTTCAAAGATTTAGGAATTTGATGTAGACCAAAGTACATCTCTGTGCGAAAGATCCATCCAACTGGGTCTGTACCCACAAATGAAGGAAGTTCCATTTTAATAGACCGCATGATGTTCCTTGGATCATTCGGATCATACCTTGCATGTAATCCACTAGCAGTATCACTACTCGAAGAACTTGGTTGAACTCGATTTTGTACTTGCTCCTCTGTGCGATTTTCTCCTCCCACGATGACTGCATGTATCTGCTGTAACTGAGTGTTGAAGGATAAGAACTGAGATTGATGATCGGTGAACCTTTGTTGAATCTCCTCCAAAGTCCGATCGACACGCTGTTGAAAGGAACCTAGTTCCTCTGCCACCTCTTGTAGCCGCATGTTGCAACCGGCGAGTTAAGAATGAAAGCACCAATGTTAAGAGTGCAATACTCTTAAGAACAGAACACGAAGAACAGAAGACGTTTTCGTTTATTATTCAGATGAAAAACACATATGAGCCATGTGTCAAAGCTTTATACAACCACATGTTTCTAACAAACTTATCCACCTAAGCTAACTAACATGCCACCTCCTATTACAAGGCTAACTAACTCCCTTCAAAGCAGTAACTCAAAGCAGTAAACTAACTCAAGTAAGGTAAACTAATTACACACCATTACATGGTTACAAAGTCTTTACTCTATAAAGGAGCACTCTTGATTCTACTTCCTTTAACCGTATCAGATTCACTCTCATATTTAATTTAATTGATGGTATAAATCTAATAAAATTATTTACCGTTAGGTAATTAAAATTTCAATACTGAAACACAAATTTCATAAATCTCAAATTCTCAATTCATGCCTACACAATATTGATGAATTTTTCAATCGTATGAAAATATAATTGTTAGGTGGCCTAGGGAAGATGGCAGGGGAAAATATCACCAATTAATAAGCTAAGATATACCAAATGAATGGGTCCAATATTATATTTTGTTACAAAACCTTAAGATTAGAGTAGACAAAATGGGTAATTTTCAAAAAAAAAGAAGGACCAATCCGTCCTGCCAAATTAATGAAAAATGGATTAAAAATCTTAACATGTTCCATTTTATAGCAGGTTGGCGAATGAAATCAAACTTAACACCAACTTTTGAAAAAAATAGTAATCATATCTATTCAGCTTGAAAGTAGGAAGCATGAGAGAGGGATCGACGAAGCAAAATTATAATCCGAAAAAGCCATGCAAACACTGTTAAAACATATATCCATGCGAACACAATGATTTTGCCTTTAAGAAAAACCATGCAAACATCAATTTTAACCTCTAAAAAAAATCAAATTTTGAAGCCATCAAAAAATCAAAATTATAAAGGGTATGCTTAAAACACGAAGATCCATTTCAGGGAAAAGTTTAAATTTATATTATATTGACTATAAAATAAAATTAATTTCATCATGTTTAAATTTGTTTTTATCAAATTTTTAAACCTGTATTTTATTTGTTTATTATATATTTTATTAAATTTATTTGGGAAAGACTGAAAATTAAATTTTATTGTGTTGTGTTGTGTTTAAATCAAAATTTTATTTAATTTTTGAATCTTGATTTTGTTTTATTTATCTTATTTATTTATAGTTAAATAAATATTATATTTTTTAAAATTGTTTAAAATGATATATTTTAAGTTAGGTTAAAAACTTATTGAAAAGAATAGATTCTCCTATACACATAATAAATATGTCGATTACATTGAAAAGAGAAAATAAATTTTTTTTTATTGCGTGTAACCCGACACGAGAAGTGTTTAATTTAATCTTTTTAAGTAGCTAGCGGCTATTATGAGGCGCAGTATGCCATTATAAATACACATAACACTCCCCACTCTCGTTATGTGCTTTTCCTATTCTCCTTTGCTTTGTGTTGTTTGTATTAACTTCCTCTGTTTTTCTGGTCACCGCTTTTCTCCTTTTTTAACCACCAAACACTACACTTTTCAAAATCAAAAAAATAATGGGTGGGAATTCCCCGTGTGCCTCATGCAAGCTGCTGAGACGCCGATGCACAAAAGATTGCACCTTTGCTCCTTATTTCCCTTCTGATGAACCCCAAAAGTTCGCCATAGTTCACAAGGTTTTTGGAGCTAGCAACGTTAGCAAAATGTTGCAGGTATATTATATCACCTACTCTTTCTTTTCTTTCTTTTGATGATGAAAGGGGCTAAAAAAAAAAAAGCTTTGTTTGGTTAGTTGATTGATCATAATTTTCAGAACCAAAGGGGCAGAGATTTAATACTTACTAATGTAAGAAAAATGAAAAAAAAAAAGAGAACCTTTTGGGATTTGAATTTAAGGGCCTTTGTATTTTCTTATAGTACCAGTTTTTATTAGTACATTTTGGGTCTAAATTAAATGGTTCTTTCTTATACAATGATTCAGGAACTTCCGGTTCATCAGAGAGCAGATGCAGTGAGCAGTTTAGTGTATGAGGCAAATGCAAGAGTCCGTGACCCAGTGTATGGTTGTGTTGGAGCTATATCCTACTTGCAAAATCAGGTTTCTGAGCTTCAAATGCAACTTGCAGTTGCTCAAGCAGAGTTACTCTGCATCCCGATGGAATATGAACCAGTGATACCAACCCCAGAAATTTACCCTGATCAGAAATCTTACTTTCTCCAAAGTGATCTCCCTCAATATCTCAACTATGGCACTTCTAGCAATGTAATTCATGACTCTCTCAAGAGAGAGAGCATTTTTGGACATGACATGGTTTCTTGAATGAAAATTCCTCACATCACATGCTTTGGGTTCTTAGCCCATTTTCCCCTCCCATTTTTTTTAATCATTTAGACGAACTTTCTTCTTCCATTCAGATATCGATGAAGTATGAAATGTTCTTTTTTTTTTTTTTCTCTCTCTCCCTATTCGTGAAGTTAGGACATAAGAAGGGATTTTTCTAGGGTCAACTCTAGCATGTGATCATTAAGTACTGGTGAAGTAATATAATCTTTTCTGAATCAGTGTTAAAGAAATAATTAAGGTGTTAGGGTCGGTGGTTGTTTTAAAAAATGGCAAACATTCTGATAATTATGTAGAATAATCATCACACGATCTAGAAAGACAAATTTACAAGTAAACACCAAAACCATTTTTGTTTTCCCCACTAGAAGTATTCTCGTTGCTTCGATACCTGGAATAAGTGTTGAACTTTAACCACTTCGCCAAACAAGAATCCCTTGGTAACTTCAGTTTTCCTTGGGATTCTTAATAGCGATGCCATTCTTTGTTTTATATGATTTCAAACCATGAATGCATAATTGTTAGTTGGGTTCACTTTTTCTGCAGTTACTGCAGATAAGTTATCTGCAGTAAGCCCAATACGATGTCGTTTTGAGGCGGAAATCATGGTGTTTTTGTAATTTTAATTTATTTCAGGGTTATAATAATCTTTATATTTATAATTTTTTAATATTTCAATACCAAAACGACGTCGTTTTGAGAATAAATGCAGATAACTTATCTGCATTAACTGCAGAAACATTTTTCCCTTGTTAGTTACTAGTATCTGAGATACTGCGCCTTTTACCATTTATGAAGAAGGATGCTACTATTTCTTTTTCTTTTTATGTTTGAAATACATTAAAAATAAACTGAATCGATTTCATATTAGTAATATACTTTATTGCTATTATTCCGAATAGATTAAATCACTTAAATAATAAGAGTTAAAGTGTCAATTTCAATAATTAAAATTAAAGAAAAGTTCACAAATGCTCCTCTGATTTGCTTCAGAATCATATATGCTTCTGTGATTTTTTTATTATATATGCCCCTTTATTTTATAAAAAATAAAAAATCACAAGGATATATATGATAAAAAACATATCATTTTGCAAATCACATGGATATATGTGATAAAAAAAATCACAGGAATACAAGTGATTCTGGAATAAACCACGTGAACATTGATGAATTTTTCTCTTAAAATTAAATTAAAGTAACTCAAATTCAACTAAAACTTGTGTGAATTTTTATTCATGCACAATTATATAAAATAATTTTATTTATAATTATTACATTTTATTTTTTATTCTATAAAATAATTTTTTAACTTAATCTTAACTATAATTATTCCTTAGAGACATCATATACGTATTTTAAAACATTTTAATATAGTATGTTGTGTATATATTTAGTACGCAACTAGTTATGTGACAAGTTCCTAAGAGTTGTATATATATATCACATGTGAGGATTTTTATAAAATCCTCAAATATTGTTTTCACCCTTAAAATTTAAATTCTCTCAATTTGGGGGTTTTAGAGAAAAAATATAATAAATTAATTATATATCCTTATTAATAATTTTAATTTAATTATAATGTGAAATAAATGATTTTAGAGAGAAAAATATAATCTCTAGGAAGAGAAACTATGATAACGTGAATCATTGTCTGAACGTGAAAATTACATAAATAATTTTTTTTTTAAATTTCAAATTTATTTTTTATTTGAAAAATATAATAATTATATTAATTTTTTAAGAAAGAGTAAAATTATAAAAATATCTCATTAACTTTTTATTTTTCTCCCTTATCATATTTTTAACTCTCAAATAAGGGGAAGATATATTTTTTTTCTCTCTTTCTTTCCCTCCTTTTCCTTTAGATCTCCTTTCTTCCCTTTCTCTTCAAACTCCCACACACACCTTGAGGAGTGCTTAAAAATACTAAAGAATACAGAATTGATTTTCTTCTAGTAAAAATTATTTCATATTAACTTACTTCATAAAATAACTTAATTGACTCAAATTGTAGTGAACTTAAATAATTGAAAAATAAAATTTACGTATGTAAATCCGATTTCTCAAATGCAAAACAATCTTTTTTTCTGGGTAGGACTCATACAAACATTAATTTGCTCTTGTTTTAAAAGAAGATTAATATTGAATTTGACCTAATCTACATGATGAACGTGGAGAGAACAACAAAGAAAAATTAATTACTCGGAAATTTATGTCGAAGAATTTTTTTTAAAGTTGGAGAGAGGAACAATGTGATACTAAAATTAAAAATGAAAAGAAAAGGAAAACCTATTGGATATGAAAATTAAATAATGAAAAAGAACTGACAAGTTATCAAAGATTCAAAATCAAAGTATATGTATTACTTTCTCCCATTAAATTTTTGCTCACTTGCTGTCTTATAAACATGTACAGTTTGGACTCTTTCATATTGCTTCTTGGGAATTTGGATTCCTTCTGTTCGTGGGAGAACTAATTAAGGTGGTTGTTCTTCTTACGTCCTTCTCACCGTTAGTGTGTGAACTTCATTAATACTTTAACAGGTATCCTGTTTTTTGTTTTGTTTTTTATGGTAAGAATATATCCTATTGTTTTATTTTTAGTAAGTTAGAATATATCCAACGTCAAAGCTCTGAATGTAGCACTCAAATTTAATTCAAGTAATAGGGACAGATAAATCAATTTTCGTATATATATAGAAAATTTCTTCATAGTAATTACCCAAATCTCATATTTATAACAAACAAAAAAGATCATTTACTTATAGTTACTTAAAAAAAAAGACCACATATACATAAATGACTTAATATCTTGGGATAATTGTGAAAGAGAAACTCAATACAAACAATATAACAATTTATTGAATTTAATCTTAAGGAGTTAATGGTTTGTTTCGGAGTAAAAGGCATTATTTATGTAGTTAAAAAAAATTAATTTACCTATAGACTAGCACGTCATGGGTACATAAACACGCCGTCATATATTCAAATGTGAACTATGTTAATTATTTGGGGTTAAGATAAAAACAAATGCAAGTAGAACAGAGTGATCACAACAATATATATGGAAAATAATTATCTCATGCAACAGAAATAAAGTAGTGGGGTCCACTAATTTTTCTTTTTTTGAAAAGTAGTGGATCTCATTATCTTGTCTCTGTTGCATTAGATAATTATCTCATACAATATGAGATAAATAGATCCTTATATATATATATATATATATGAATATATTTTTCTTATATTGTAGAAAAAAATTTACCTCATGTTATAGAAATAAAAGTATAAGTGAGACCTACAGGTAAGAAGAGAGAGAAAAAAATGGTGGGACCCAACCTCTCTTTGTGTGTGTAGGAAAGTTTTTTATCTCATGTAAAATGAGATAAACATAACGGCAAAAAAATTAAAATAATGCATTTAAATTAAATAATTACGCATTTAATGCTGTTTTGTAAAAAATTACACATCTGCTGCACAATGTGACGCCACTTTTGGGCGTCACATGTGACGCCCAAAAGTGGCGTCACATGTGTGCTCTATATATTCCCCCACCCCTCCATTCAATTCACACCTCTTCTCTCACTCTTCATATCTCTCTTCTCCACCAACATTCCTTTATCTTTAATTTAGTATTTGAATTTTATTTCTTATTCTATTTAAAAATGAGCTCAAATCCTGATTCTGTTCGTGTTGTGTTATATTACAATGGTAGAAAGGTAGAAAGTCGACGAGGTGTCATCTTCGAAGGTGAAAAAAGGCCGACACGTATCCAACGCAACACAACCATTGACGAACTGCATCAGAGAATTCGGCAGAAGTTAAGTCTTCCAGACAACCAATGTATCACTGAGATCACGATAAGGATGTGGCAAGGTGATAAATACATTAGTTTGAAAGTGCTTGACGATGAAGACTTGGAGATGACAATGGAAAATTTTTGCAACCAGTCAAGGACAGATTTTCTAGAGTTGTATGTCGACATCGCCGCAACCGAGAATGCTCCCTTACCGGTGATGTCAGTTTATTTAAATTCTCCCCGTCTTCCAGCTTCTTCTGCCGCTCATGCGTCTCTAGTTGGTAACTTTTCTGAGGGAGATGAAAATGATCCGACTTGGGAAATGCACGACGAAGATGACGATGACGACGATGAAAATATGGCAATGGAAGAACGTCTTCTGGAGGAGGATGCTAGTGCTTCAGAAGGAGATGAATCCCGTGAGATGGGTGCGTCTCAAATCCCAATATTCCATCAACCAGTCGTCGCGCAAATGCCACAGTTGAATGACGTTGCGTCTGCCCCATTCGGTATTCACCATGAAGGTAATTGATCCCATTTGTATATAGCTGAATAGATAAATGATTTAATACCTGAATTAGTATGTTTGTATTAAAAAATTATAATCCGCAATTGCAGGTGACAGAGATGTTATTCCTTTTGGGGAAGGAATTCTGCATTATTCCTACATTGATTGGAGTTATCGGAGCGAACAAGAATCATGTACTGATGGTTCGGTCTCTAGATCGGCTTCAATACAAGGTCCGTGGCAACTGGGTGACATGTTATTTGTCAATCAAGAATTTGCGACAAAAAAATATGTCCAAATGGCACTTAAGCACAACCTCATTAGGGAGCATCAAGAAGCCATTGTAATTGAGAGCACGCCTGGAAAGTTGTCCATGAAATGTTGTGCGTATGATCAAGGTTGTCCGTGGCGCGTAAGGGCGATCAAACCGGTGTTTCGTGAAAATTGGAAGATTACGAGATAGGGTGGAAAACACGAATGTGTGAATGAGCACATTTCCCAGGTTCATAGACAGCTCGATGCGGACGTTATTGCAGATCTCGTCATAGGTACATATTTATTTACCGTAATGACATGTCAATGTTTACGTACTGCCGTGTAATTAAATTCGTTCGATGTTATCGAGGCACTGATATCCTCTTCAATGCAGGGATGATAAAGTCAGAACCATCTG